TCTCCGTTCTTTCTGCATGGGAAGCTCTATAAGGGAGGGCTCATTTCATCATTTGGGAAAAAAGGACAATTATCTTTACATTACATTACAGAGGACTGACTGAAGATTCTCCAGAATTTTTAAAAATGCTCTAACAAAAAAAGATTTCTATGCCCACTCTAATATTAACCTGGAAGGGTCACACATATGACCTATTTAATTCTGCTAACTCACAAAATGAGTGAAAATAGTTCACATGGGGAAGCCAAAAGGTACTGCAAAGAAAGCAGAGAAATTCTTTATTAAGCAAAAATACGAAATGATGAAGCTATTATTTCTCAATCTATCCGCTGACGAGGTCTACAAGCTTCTGGAGAGCATGTTTCCATCTAAGCCTTCTCCAAAGAATTCTGTGGTGTGCCATTCTTTACACCCTGGCACAACGGCGATTCGGGCCCCTCTGAAGGACTCAATCATGTTCCTCTTCACTTTTTTTAGTTAATTTTGGGAACAAAAAAAAGAGTGAAGGGCTAAGGCCAGGGCTGCAAGGGCAGACGGAATGAGGTTTCCTGAAGATATTCCAGTAGGACAGCCCTTGCTCCCCTCGAATAAGGAGCAGGTGTGTTATGTTGATTAAAAAAAAATGATTTGGACGGAGCTCTTCTGGCCTTTTGTTCATTGATGCAATTTTTAATTTCCTGTAAGCTTCTTCATAACAAACCACCATGATGGTCCTGTGTCTTTTGAGAAAACTATCAAGACTACCCCTTTAGAGTCCTTAAAACAGCTGCTCTATCATCTTCACAGACTTCTGTGACTTGAGTTTAACTGGCCCAGCAGCTCCCTTTGGATGCTACTTCTTTGGGCTGGACTTTTTTCTTAAGGCACTCTAATGTGCCCAGGTGGTGTAGTGGTTACACACTGGGTTGCAGTCCACAAGATCATTAGTTCAAAACCACCAGCTGCTCCACTGGAAAAAGATAGGGCTTTCTGTTCTCTTAAACAAGTCTCAGAAACTGATGAGGGCAGTTCTTCTACCCTGCCCTACAGAGTTACTATGAGTCATCACCCACTCATGGAAGTTGAGTTTCAAAGAGACTAAGTATATAATGGAGAGAACTTGTCTGTAGCCATCCACTAATAGCAGAGAGATGCTTAAACACATTTTATTTGAAATAAACCATCTGCATATGAATTGAATCTAGCACTGGTGGCATAGTGGGCTACTCATTGGGCTGCTAACCACAAGGTCAGCAGTTCAAAACCACCAGCCACTCTTCAGGAGAAAGATAAGGCTTTCTAAAAAATACTCTTGATCTGGTAAAGAATTACAGCCTCGGGAATTCAAAGGGGATCACAGAAACTCAGAATTGACTCACTGGCAGTGTGGGGGTCTTTGGGTTTTGCTTGTATGAATTGGAACCCTACTAGCAATACTTTTTTGACTCATGTTGCTGGCCTGTTCTCAGGTCTAGCCTACATTCTGGAACACAGCAAAGAGAAATCATCTCTGCACCTGAACATTCCCCGGCCTCTCTTTCCCCCTCTTGAGGTACTTTTTAAACTTGGTATAATCCACGTATCATAAAACACGCTCTTTTAAAATGTACAGTTCATTTGTTTTTAGTATATGCTCAAAGTTATGCTACTAACAACACTAATTCCAGAATATTTCACCCTCTCCCCTGCAACAATAACTTATGCCCATTAGTAGTTTTTCTACCTACCTCTCTCTCCCAGCCTCTGGCAACCAATAACCTGCTTTCTCTCTCTTGCTAGCCTTTTTCTCGTTTCTACGCCTATGAAGCAGAAGCACTGAGAGACAAACTGGTTGCAGGGTTACTTGGCAAAAGAGGAAGTATGGGAACAC